TGAAAAAGATGAGAAAAGAAAATGTATAATGAATATTGAGACAGAGAGAAAGAGAGAGAGACTTGGTGGACAAGAAACTGTGAAGAATTCCTGAAAAAAGAAAGAAAGGAAGAAAGCAAGCTACCAAGACAATGAAAAAGGAAACGTACCCCAAAATGCAGATCAGAGGGGACTGTAAGAAAAAGTAGAAGCGATATGGAACCCCACACTTAGCAGGGGTTGATGCCAGGGGTAATGGGCACCCAAGGCCAAATAGCAGATGATCTTTTGCGAAGGTTGGCCCCGCACAGCACCCTCCGCTTGGGCCAGCAGTGGCTGGGGAATCCAATATGGCTGGAGAACATTAGAGAAAAAAGACCAATGGGTCATAAAACAAGACTGCAGTGGAAGGATGTGTTGGAACCAAAAGCGTGCTCCTAATAGACTAGTCCTGAACATATCTTCTTGAGAGCTTCCCATGTCATTTGGTAAACAAAGCCACATCTGTTCTCCACAATAGTGAGTTGTTTATGCTACATTAGTGATAAATTCTTCCCCCACGGAAGTCCTTAAGCTGTGTGATTAATTCTTCTCTCCCCAGCCTGATTCTCTTTCTTTTTGGCTAAGTTGGGTCTGAGGTATCGAAGATCATTCGGTTCATCAGGGATGTTCCAGCCTTGGTTTTTCTGACAAAGCAGCTCACAACACATCGCGTCCCGACCTGGGCATGCTCCCAGCCTCTGCCTGCTAACCCCTCTGGCTCAGCATCCCCAGTGGCTCACACTGTCTGCCATGTGTCTGCTGCTACCTTCTACTTCAAAAGTGCGAATTCCCAGGGAATCAATTCCCCGCTATTGGAATTCTTCATGCCTGTCAGACTCAAGTAATCTGAGGGCACAGACTTTGGGACACAGAGACAAGAGAGAAATGAGCTAGGAAGACCCAGGAGAGCGGTATTTCCTGTCAGCTGCGGCAATGGGAATGATTTGAAAACTGCTCCAGACACAGTATTTTGATCAAATGGAGTCACTTTGGTTAGTATGTCATTATGAGATTAAAAAAAATAGAATTAAAGCAGTCTAGAGTTAATAATAAATAGATCCTATTCCCACTATGTAATTAGATAAAGAATAATTTAAAAGCTGGTCTTCCTAAGGACATGAGCAAGGATTCTGATCAAAAGGGAATTGATTTCTGAGATTAACCTTTGTATTAGCTTCATCAAGAATTTGAGCCCTTCTTTTATTTTATAATAATTCAGATTCTGGAATATTAAGTGACCACACTGGCATGATCAAACATAAGACTACTTCTTTAGGTTTTAATGATTTGCCTCAGGCTGCATTAGTGTGTGGTTTATAGAAGAACTTTATTTTTAGTAAAATATAAATTATATATTAAAATACCCAGAGCTATTATTTAGTTAGTATCTAAAACTCATAAAAAGTTTTCTGGAGTGTTATCATCATTTATTATGGTTATGAATATTTAAAGTTTTTTCCCTTATAATAATAGCAGCTTAAGTTTTAATAACTTTATCAAATAATCATAGTTTTTTGAAAATATTTACCTATTTTAATAGCCTAAGTATGTATTTAGTAATTTCATTGCAGTATCTAAATTTTAAAATGTGGGCCCAGAAGGACACAGAATTAACAATCATTGGCTGCCCTTTGCTGGCGCTGGGATAAACACTGAGGTCCCACACGAAGCCTTAACTTTCTGGAGGTTCTTAACAAATCTGAGAAACCACATCACACAGAGTGGTCTCAGTCTTCATACAATTCATAAACATTAACTATGCTTATTTTTGCAAAACCACAACACAGTTTTAAAAGATAAAATAATATATTAAGGAATTTTATGAGTTTCTTCTATGAAATTTTCCATTCTCTAATAATGCTTGTATATACATATACCATTATGTCTACTTCTTCGATGTTTCAACCACTCACTTCATTTATTCAATCATTTTTATTCAATCAGTGACATACAAAGTATGTCACAAACATATTGTAAATTCTGGGGATATAAAGATGAATAAGATACACTATCTACCCTCAAGAAACTCAGCAGAATGGGAGAGATAGAAACAAATTAGACGACTCCAATAAAATATACAGATGCTCTAATTAATGTGTCCCTAGTGTCTTGTGAAGCGAAGAAGGGGCTGGCAATTCTTCCTGGAAGCCTTTCCCCCTCAGCCTCCATCTCTCTCCCATAACTGGCCATGATATCAAAGGACAGCATGTATCTTATTACATGTTGTCATATTAGTTTTATAATTCTCAATCTAAATGAAAAGAAACTTGAATTTCTTTTGAATCTAAAGGTTATTAAATCTAAAGGTAACTTTTTACTTGTGCAAATATTTTTGAGGACTAATAGCCTAGGATTAAAAAAAATCATCAAAGCACTTGGAGCAAATAAATAAAATAATTTTACTACCAGGTATGATCATTCTTAAGTTTTACCTGTAGTTTTTGTCTAAAAAGTTACCTATCAGCTTTCATAAAATATAGTTGCATCAATTATTATAATATAGTAAATTCCAATTTTGTTAATTTTTTCATTAACTTATTCTTATAAACTGATTCTTATTAACTTATTCTTTCTTGTATCTCTAAGCTAACTCCACCTGATACTTTGTTGCACAGAAAATACCTACTTCTCACTTGATTCACAATGAATATTCTCTATTAAAATGTGAATCCAGTTACATTTGAGCTTTGGGGTATGACAAAGCATTTGCTTAAGAACAGGAGAAAAGGGAGAGCACGAGATTTTGTGGCCATCTTCCTGGATTCAGAAATCAATTAGGGTTCAATATTGTCTCCATCATGCAAGAACTAAATGAACTACTTGACCTCTGACACTTGACTAAATTGACATGCAACCAAAAGTACTCACGTCTTGGCACTAAGCCTTAAATCTCTGAATTGTTTTATAAGGAAGAGGTCAGCATCTGCTTTGATTCAGGACACTTGAATCAAAAAACATGTTGTTGGTCTGTCTTTGGGTGTGGGAATTTAGTGCTGTGGTCACCCTGGTCAGATTAAATATTTGTGATGTTTCTCATTGAGTTGTTGACTTCCTGCAGCTATTGAAAAATCTCTAATTAACACTGGCTTGAAACATCAGAGGACTGGCTCTCCCATTAATATTCTTCATCTCAGTGCTACATGGAAGTGATGAGTAAATTTACCTCTCCAGCCAGTTTGGCCATTTGAAAGTCTGCAAATCCAACTTTATGTCACTCCGATTAAACCAGGCAGCTGAACAAAATAAATGATCATCCCATTTTGCTTCAAAATTACCTTTAAGGAAGTTTTGTTTTGAGAATGAGACAATATGGCCTATCAGAATCTTCTTTCAAGGAAACGTAGGAATAAAATGAAAAGGTGCTGAAGGAAGTAATGCAGTCAGGTCCGTGTTGATACCCTCAAGTCATGTGACCAAGGCTTGTTGAAGCCTCTATGAAAATAAAATATAAAATAAAATAAAATCCTTTAAGGAAAAGTAAAGTAAGAGGAAGGAACCCCGTGGAAGGAACATAGAAAATGGAGCCAGGTGGTCATAACAGACCAGTTGTTCCATCGCATAATCTTGAGTTCTTAGAAAAACCACGAACACACAACTATAAGGACTTATGCTAATTCTGCTAAGGGTCCTACCTGGAAAAACTGCCAAAGAGAAGCTCCAATGACAGCCAATCATCGAAAACCTGAGGTCAGGCTGCAAGGGTCATTCAATCCCCTTTGCAGGTCTCCCAATTGTGACTTTTAACTGTTGGTTTTGCTTTGAAAAATCCCTTCCCCCTCCTTTCCCTTCCCCAACCTTGCAACTTTGCAAACAATAAAGCTGCCCTTTTGCTTTAAGACAACCCTGAGTCTTTTCTGGAATTTATTTCTAATTTAGGATGGCACATCCCTTAAGGCAAAGCATTTATCATTTGCTGTTACTCTTTGCTCTAAAATGCATACAATCAACACTCCTGGTATCAGCATCCTCTGAACTTACTGCCACCCACCTACTTTTGACAGTTAAGTGTTCTTCCAAACGTGGCAATTATAAATTTTTTCAGTAATAAACCTCATTGATTCCTTAAGTTTGTGCAGCTCAATTATAACCCAACAGAGTTCCCGGATGTGGCTTGTTTGTCTCTGTGTCTCAAGTGTACACTGATGAATCTTATATACTGTTGGAAAAGATACTTGAGCAGACAGGGCAATCATAGCTCTCTTGAAGGGTGGACATTGTGAAAACATGTCGGTAAAAGAAGGAATGCAAAAAAAAAAAGGATTCAAAAGGAGGAGCACTGAAAATAATTTTATACAAGATTGACTCTCAGCCGGCCTCAACCACGGCAGCTTCCTGGCTTCCCGCCTCATCCCTCAGGTCCTCACCCCAGATCACACTCTACCTCTGACTGCCCTTTTCTTATTCAGAATAACCCTCTTTGGACTTCAGAGCTCAGTAAGCCAAAGAGAGATTTTCAAAGTCCTCCTTTATTTAAAGGTCAAAGCGTGTCTCCCAAGTGGCTGTGGTGGAGGAATGGAGGAAACAGGGGGGTATGTGGTGCCTATCTTGGGAGGATTTTGAGACAATACTGTTGCCACAATTATATTATTTACCTCTAGAAGGTTGTTCTAGGACCAGAATTGCCTTTTACGTTTTCAGAATGGTGCCACCAAAAATGGGACTTCATTCATCTAAGAAATGTACTCAGTGATGTAATGGAATCCTGAATTGTTTCTTAAAGACCATTTTTTCTTGGTGCAGCCACTATGGACAATAGTATGGGGGTTCCTTATAAAACTAAAAATAGCAACCTCATTCCTGGGCATATAGCCTATCTGGAGAAAACTCTAATTTGAAAAGCACTATTTACAATAGACAAGACATGGAAGCTACCTAAATGTCCATTGACAGGTGATTGGACAAAGAAGATATGGTGTGTGTGTGTGTGTGTGTGTGTGTGTGTGTGTGCGCAACAGAATATTACTCAGTCATACAAAAGAATGAAATAATGCTCTCTTCTCTGATTGACACTTAGTGTCTGTAATTTGTCTTCTTGATAAAATTGTGGGGAAGTTGAGGAGAAGAACTGGGTTTTCTAGAGCTACTGTGTTCTTACTCAGCGTTTGGTGAGGGTTCAGGAAGCTTGAGGCCGTGGGTTTGATGTTCGGCCAACCTGGGTTTTAATCCTGGCTAATTAGTAGTTGTATGATCTTGGTTACATTGCTAATGTCTGAACATTGATTTACTCTTCTGGAAAAAAAATCAGTCGATCAGTCTATCCACGTCAGCCATCTGCACAGTAGGAATCCGAACACTCAGTGAGCTGTGACTACAGTGAAGTTTAGGTTCTTCCAGACTTTGTTTAGTCCATTTCAAACACTGCACACCACTCCGTGGGGCGTTCGCATCTCCAGGCTCCGTGGGGATTCACAGGGGCTCCGGCTGCAGCTCTGGGAGGCCCAAAGCCGCCCAGCAGGTGAGCAGGAAACTCACTGAGCAAGGCTTGGCAAGGGTGGGGGACTGACTTACTCAGGATCACAAAGCTGAAAAGAAGCCAGTCTCAGATTGCCTGGGTTCCAAATCCCCTGGTCTTGAAGACGCAAGAGGAAGGCTGGGGGACCAGCGTTTGATGGGTGCAGAGTTTCAGTTTTGCAAGATGAAAAGAGTTCTGGGAATGGAAGAAGGTGCTAGTCACATAACAGTGGGATAAGCTTGATATCACCCAACTGTACACTGAAAAATACTGAAGACGGCAAATTTTATGTTACGTGTATTTGACTGCAATTTTAAAAATATGTTTTAATGTGCATGTAAATTACCTGGAAATCTACTGAAGTCTGTGCTAAATCTGTGAGAGCTACTTGCTGCCTCTTCTTCCTCATTGTGTGACTCCTTCTCCTGAACTTACTGTGAAGCTGAGATTCCGTGAAACCCAACTTCAGTGAAAAAAACATTTCATTTTATAAAATTATTAGATTTAAAGTCTCTACTTAAAAAGATACTTTTTCCTTCACTCCTAAAACATTGAGGGAATAAATACTAAGAAAGCTGAAAAGATGCAAAAGCTTTACTAGGCTAATAACACAGTTCTCAGAATCAAGGTCATTAAACCCTCTAACTGGTAAAACTTTACCAAGGAGCAGGGCAGAATCTGTGTTTGAGTTTGGAAAGGGACAAAAATCTTAGGGCGAGTGAGGGAATGCCACACAACGGGACACTTTCTTTAGTTTCTCTTGTCGCAAGAAATAATCCCTGCTGCTATCAACTCACATGTAAAAACTCTTACGTTTTATTGAACGTCCATATATTGCTTGATGACCAACATCATCTAATAAGCAAGAGTGATATTTCTCCTTTAGCGATGAGTCAACTGAGGCTCGGCTTGACAAGTTTTCACTGAAGGTTTCCCCTATGGCCAGAAGCTAAGCGCCAGAGCCACACTTGTATACAGTTTAATTTCAAATCCTGTACAATTCCTGAGACTCACAGATGTTGCAATTTGTAAACCAGGAACTCTGCCCTAGCAAATATGAAGATAAACATTATTCTCTCTGCCAGGGACACAGTTTTACTGTGACAAATCCTACGTAACATTGAAAGAATGGATGCAGCCTGCTTTTACGAGGGGCTCTGGAGAATGAATTGCACCCACAGGGCTGGTGTCATCCGCAGCGCGAGGGCGGGTCTTTCGCAGCCCACGTCAGTCAGTCAGTGGTTGCTGGCCGCCCCCAGGGGTAGTGAGGGGGTGGCCCCCACTTGGCCAAAGGTAGTCTTTGGGAAAAGAGAGTAGCCGTGAGCTAGAAGCAAACAAAATTTGCAGTTGCCGGGAGGGGAGAGCAGACGCTCATAGAAGGAGACCAAGGTGGGTACCAACAGCATCCAGAACACAGTTTGTAAAAACAGAGTCAGGATTCCAACCCAGGAGACTGGTCCCAGAGTCCCTGCTGTTTGAACAAAACGCACACATCGCTTCATGTGACTGCAGAGGAAGGAACGTGCTGATTTCTTGACTTTTAAAATTAAGAGGAAGTGGTACTATCTCTCAGTGCATTTTCAGTTCAAAGCTAGTTGATGATTTTCCATCTTGGGCTAAAGTACACTCACTTGCTTAATCCTGAGAGACACTCTTCTCTCCAGCTCCCACTGGAGGATCTTGTTTTTCCCTGTAAGCAGATTCTTTCCTCTGTTGTGCAAAACAGTTCAGACCTTTGTACCCTCTTGTAAATGTTCAAAAAGACCTAAACTTCCAGACAAGTTATCCCATCACCTAAAAGCATTCCTTCCAAAGGAACAAATAATAATTTTTGCCACCATTTAAAAATTATCTCAGGCAATGAAACAAGCATAATTAAGTAAGGGATACCTTAGATGGTGATAATTATAAAGATAAAACATGAAGCGGAGAAAGAGGGATTGAGAATGAAGGGCGAACAGAGAGTTAATCGTGCTCTTAAATTGAGAGGTTAGAGTGGAATATATCAAGCGCGATCTGGACCAGGACTTGAAGAAGGTGAGGAAGTGGACCACGTGCAGGAATCTTCCAGGCAGGAGACACAAGAGCGAGGGAAGGGCGCTGCCGTGGAGCACGCCTGGCCTGTGCAAGGGCCAGAGAGGCAGCCGCCGGGGACTGAAATGGAGGGAGCGGTGGCGAGAGACTCGGGAGCTACGGCCGGGGAGGTTGCAGGGGGAGGGACTCCACGCGCTCAGACTTGCACCTGGAGTGGCCGGAGAGTCGCTGGCGAGTCCAGCCCTAGGGTGGCAAGCTGGCGTATGTTTTGAAAGGGATGCACTCTCCCTGTGGTGTCAGCAATCAACTGTAAGTCTCAAGGATGGAAAGCTGAAGTCCTTTGATATCTGAGCAAAAATAGTTTGAAATGGACGGTACCCAGAGACTGATGTTCATGGGAAGGGAAAAAATATCCCCCACCCTATTCTCCAGCAAATCCTGTCTTTATAATAAACCCGTGGTAACGTATAGACGTGAACTGACCTTGACATCACGCAACCTTGCCATCTTGAGCCAGCCAAGAACCCTTAAGAACTTACGCCCGTCTTGAAGGCTCCAGTCAACTTAGAAATATCTATAAAGTGTTCCTACAGCTCAGACTATCTCTCCAAGCTCTGCCTTCCACTCTCGACACTGAACTTGGTCTCTGATCTCACAACCGCATTTCCCTTCTCATCCTCGCCCTTTGGGAATCAGTGACCAAGCTGGACGATCTGCCTGGCTGTCTATTTTGGTTTCTTCATAAAATATCCTGTTCCCGTCTCTCTCAACGCACATACTATAGGCCATGAGCAAGTAAGTCTTTGCTCCCTGGCAACAAACAAATGTACGTATTTGGGTGAAAGGGACATGAATTTATTTGGAAAAGGGTTTAAGTAATGAAACTAAGATTCTCTTTCCCAATAGGCTGATCATATTCCAAGCAAAGCCAGAAGGATTTCTGGAGTAGAGAAGAATTTCTGAAGACTATAGGCTGAGATGGTGGCTTCCCAAAATTTGGGAACAGCGTATTTTTTTTTTTTTAATTTTCTCTCTAGGAAAACGGTTGGAGAGGCCGAGTGCCCTAAGAGATGAAACGCCAACATCAGAAATCATCTCACTTCAACAAAGAGCACCCCAGGCTAGGAATATGGAAATGTGGAAGAGAGAAAAAAATTTTTTTTCCAATTTTCTATAATAGCAACCCAAGGAAAGGTTTGTTTTCCTGTGTTTGAGACCTGTCGCATTTTCAAGATACGGGTGCAAAAGATGAATACCATCTGGGTTAGAGCAAAAGATATTTTTACATGTTGCAACTTCTAAACGTAGCAGGATTTTAACTAAGTTCTTATGCTGGGCACTCTTGGTTCATGATGGGAAGAAGTAATTAACCTTAATGCTAGGTATTAGAAAGTTAATCACACCTCCATGCAAGGCTGATGAAGGAAGTCTCAGGGCTTACAGCCTTGTTTGACTTCCTGCCTCTTTAGCCAGTGGCTATTCTTACCCAGTAAAGACTGAAAAAAAAAAAAAAAAAAAAAGCACCTCCAACTCCATCCTGTCAATTACACCAACAAAAAAAGCTTTGTTCGAAACTTTCTTTGGAACACTGCAAAATGTCTCCAGCTTTCCCAGAAAGCACATGAGCTTCAGTCGCCAACTGTTCAAAACTGGAAACAATTTAAACAACCAGAAAAGTCCCTCAAACCATCACTAAGATGTCATTTAAAGTCATTGATAAAAGGCTGCTCTTTGCCTTGGCTGATGTGACATTGCGGAATTGACACCTTTTTTCTGCATTTTCTTCTTTTCAGTAGCCACGCTAAATTTTCAAAGGGTGCCCTTTTTTTTTTTTAATTACAAATAAAAAAATAGTATCAGGGGCTTGTGAAAGGAAAATCAAAATGGAGTCACTATTGCAAAAAGAGCTTTCTTATAGCCGGGAAGCTACTGAGTGTGGTGGATACACGTCTCAGCCCAGATGGAATCTGAATTTTGACCACTTATTGTCTTAACGTAGGCTTCCAGAACATCTGCATAATGTTCCAGAAACTCAAGATACTCATGGGACCTTCACCCTAAATAACTCCTGGCAGCCTAACCCTTGAAGACAAATGTTTTCTTTCTTGTGTCGGAGTTAATCCCAATTCTTGCCAGACAACGTTAACTACCTTGTGGCTTCTGCCTCTAAAAGCCTCTGACTTTTTCTCTTCCCCCAAACCCTCTTTTGGTTTTCTGAGCCTGTTGGCTCTCAAATTGCAATTCCCAAGACTCCAGATCAAGTTCTTTGTTCTTTGCAACCTTGCTACTGGTTATTGCTCAGCAACAGATTAGAAACCGTAGAAAACAGGATTGGTAAACTCACTGCCGAGTCAGCAGAAAATCTCCAAACTAAAGCACAAAAGGGAAAAAAGAGCTGGGACAGAGCACAGGAAATCCATGTGATGTGGTCAAGAGATCTAACACACATATAGTGAGAACTCCCAGAAGACAAGGGGAGCCCAGATGGGGCAGAAGCAGTATTTCAAGAAGGACAAGCAGAGAATTCTGCTGAACTGATTACAGATTCAAGCTACAGAGTCAAGACTCTCCAAGAAGCCAAAGCAGCATAAACATATTTAAATTCAGTTCTATATTTTATTATTACAAAAATAACTGTTATGAACGTTCTCTTGCACACATAATCTCTACACAAATACGAGCATTTTATTTGTGGAGGAAAGATAGGATGATTACTAAGTGGTACTGGAAAAATGGGAAGAGTTCCATTTCAGAGGTTGTCGGGAAAGTAAATACAGACCTCTACTTCACACTTTTCAGAAATAAAAACCCCAGATTTAATACAAGGCTACACACAAAAGAAAAAACGAATTACAAAAATATTAGGAAAAAAATACAAAACATTTTCATCATGTTCCAAACATAGCTCAGCCAGTCCCTTCCACCTAAAAGTCTCACGCTGGCCAACGCCCAGGCTGACCACCGCTCCA